ATCATTTAATTAGGAAATTTTCAAAAAGTTTCGAAATTTTACATCTGAAAAAGTCATATCCCATGTAAATTTTCGGATGTAAAATTAGATGGGGTATGATTTTTTTGGACGTAAATTTTCGTTGTAAAATTTCTCCCAACTTCTTTACAAGTTCGATTGTGCCCCCCCAATGTAAAAGTTCTGCGTCCGCCCTTGCCCCCAGGATCCCCCTTAGGTCCGCCCGTTCAATATATAGAGACATGCAGATAATCAATAATCAAAGTGTATTTACCTTATAAGCAACATGGCTTTGGGTATTATTCGACAACCGAATTGAACAAGATGCTAGCTGATGCAGCTCAACTTCAAACCAAAACAAATCAGTAAAACACAGCAAATAATCCCCCAAAATCAATTGAGGAAAAGTAAACGAGATCAAATAGAAACTTGCATGGGAAACTCAGCACTTGAGGCTCGATGGTAAGAAGTTTTTCGGTGCTCATTCTTTCCAAAAATCAGCAGTAGTATTAGTAATTTAACACTCAATGAATTCAAAATAACGACTTTTCCTTTTTCGTCGTGTAATTTTTGGAGGGCGTGTTCCGATCGTGATAAAGAACAAATGGCGAAGAAAGGGAGAAGGATTTGGAGATGAAGAAGCATTGACATGGGAAGAAGGAGAAGGAAGTGACTTTTTTTTTTTCTAATCTGCAAACGCGTCAGTTGACCTTGCGTGAATCCATAAACTAATCAGACCCAACAAACCATAGAAGAGAGAAATAAAAATGACGAAGTGTATGTTTAAACAGTAGAAAAAAGTATTAAATTTACACGAAGAATGATATTTTATTTAAAAATATGCGATTGAAAATGAGTGTGAGAAAAAAAAAGTTTCAAAACAATTGTTACCAAACAGGGGGCTTAATTATCTACTAGACTTGTGATGGTCACAAGTATACATAATTAGTCTCGAGTGGCGTTCTTTGACCCGACATTTAAAAGAATTCTCATTTGTATTTTAGTTGGAAGAGTCAACAGAGCTACACGAATTAAACTATTTGATCAAACTAAGGTTGTGTTGGTGCGGATTTCATTTCAGATTAAGGGCTTGTGTGGGAGGGATTAAAATCAGATTAAAATTGAAAATATAGCCGTTATTGTTGACTTTTATTAAACGAGTGGGGCCCAATAACGGCCATATTTTCAATTTTAATTGGCTTTTAATCCCTCCCGAACGGGGCNGGCGTTCTTTGACCCGACATTTAAAAGAATTCTCATTTGTATTTTAGTTGGAAGAGTCAACAGAGCTACACGAATTAAACTATTTGATCAAACTAAGGTTGTGTTGGGTGCGAATTTCAGTTCAGATTAAATGTATTGTTTGCCTATTGAACCGTCTTTTTTGACCACATGGGAGTGAGATGGGACCCGCCTGAAGAAGGTAACGGTAAAAAAAAGGGATGAAAATTGAAACTTTCAGCTGCACCAGACACGTCCTAAATAATTGATCGACCAACCTATTGTTCGATTCGGCTGGTGCTAGTGAACTGGATTATCTATTATGGTCACTACCGGTTAGTATCCTTAGATTTTGTTGTCCAAGTTTGGTGAGTAAAAATACTTTATCGATTAGTTCAACTTTTACTTACGAAGCAATAAATTTAGAGCTTTATTTCTTAACTTATTAGTTCCTTTCTCTTGACCTAACCGTGGTGTATAGTGTATACAAACCTCCAATTGGTGGTTATAGGTTGGGGTTAGGTAGATTAGGAAATATGAATATTTTTTATCGATTGACATATTTTTGGACGAAATATGTTAGAAGTCATTCCCGTTGCATATTTATTAAAGGTTTGTGATTGCACTAAACATTTTTGAAAGATTTGAAACCTTCAATGCAAAATTCTATTTTTTATTTGTTAAATATCAAAAGACTCTTTTGCCCATTTAGAATTGGCCAAATTATAGTCAAACATTGACTTTGGGTAAACTAACAAATTTCGAGCCGACAGCCATTCAGAATCCTTACACCGTACAATTTTGAAAGATTTGGGATCATCTGCCATAATTTAGAGGTTCAAGTGTAATCTACATTATTTTGAAAGTTTGAAACCTCCACGACAAATTTCCTTAAAATATAGCGAGAATGGATGAAAAGTCCGTTAAACTCTACTATTCCATTATGAAAGAATGTTTTGGTAGAGATTAAAATCAAGTTTTCAGTAGATTTTTGATAAAATTTAATGAAATGTATGATTGAAAAGTTGTGAATTCTATGAAATATGTAGTTAAAATTAATTGTAAATTTTGACTTTAACAAATATTTAGAATATAGATTCTATCAAACATGGGCTAAATATTTGTTAAATTTAATGAACATGGGCATGATAATCGTTGCTAAAATCAAGTCATGTCGATTTGACACATTTCGACATAATTCATTTTACATTTCATGATACATGAGCTTATTGACACAAAACATCCTTATATTTTGCTTTTAGTATGCAAAACATTTTTACGTTTCAAATTTTTGCATTTTCACCCCTATTTCCCGTTTCATTGCGAAAATCATCAGTTCATTTATTTTTTCAATTAAAAATTGTGAAATGACGAAAATGCCATCCTATTTAAATAAAACTAAAAGAAAAGAAAGAATAAAAAAGAAATTAGACCCATAGTCCTAAAATTTTCAAAAGATTACAAATGAGTCACAAATGTATGATTTTTGCTAAAAACTTAGGCCAACTACCTCCTTTGGACCTTCAAAACTCAGACTAAGCACCACCCAAACCACCAAAACTCCATGCCATTAGACAACACCCACTCTCCTCTACACATACCACCCAGCCACCAACCCTAAAGTCACCATATTTCGCCGAGATCGATGGCCAAAATCAGCAATTTGTCAAAACAAAAAGGACTACATCACCTTCTCCAACGAGACCCATTCCCTTTCCTTCATACGAATCAACTATATTTATTAGTGCGCACATATTCATGGTCTTGCAACATCAACAAATCCACACGATCAAAATTTATAACCCCATTTTTCGAATCAAACGAAAACGCAATTTTCAGTCTAGATTTTCGACACCGGTGGTGGGATCCATGATCACGGACCACCCATTCTGGCATTATCTGATCACAACGCAGCAATTCTACCTATGAGTTTTCAACAATTCAGCTTCCATATGACAGATCGGACAGGTATAGTAAATGCGTGCGAGGAAGATTTTGGTCATAGATTTTGGCCAAATCTAGTGACGTTAGGGCTAGTGGCTAGATGATATGTGTAGAGGGGATTGAGGACTGTCCAATGATATGGAGTTCCGGTGGTTTAGGTGGTGGTCGGCTTGAGTTTTTAAGGTTCAAATGTGGTGGTTGGCCTGAGTTTTTGGCGTATGTTGGATTTTTAATTATACATTGGGGACTCATTTGTAATCTTTTGAAAATTTGGGAGTATGATTTTAATTTGTAATTTATTTTTTCTTTTCTTTTCCTTTCGTTTTGTTTTATTTAAATATGAGGGCATTTTCATCATTTCATAATTTTTAATTAAAAAATAGATGAAAATGATGATTTCCGCAATGAAACGTAGAAATAAGAGTGAAATGCAAAAATTGGAAACGTAATGATGTTTTGCACACTAAAAGCTAAACGCAGGGACATTTCGTGCTCTTAAACCTCATACATTTTACATCTCGTGATACTATAACTAGAGTCGGTACTAATTTGATTAGCTACAAATTTTACTAATGATACGAATAATAAATTATATATAAATTAAAAAATGCAAAATGTGCAGTTAAAGAAATTGTTTGACCGATTTATAAAAACAGGTACATTTGCACATCGAGCCGTGACAGTGTCCCCAATCGGCCACGCTCCATGTCCAATGCCCTCGTCTTCTGTAAACCCATACTTTCCCGCTTCCGCCATCGCGCTATTACACTTTCCAGAGCCCTCTTTTCACTCTCTCAGTTGAACCCCAGAACCACTACACTCGCCGCCTGTAGAGGGATGAGTTCCTCCTCCGCCTCCGGGTCGACTCAGCGTATGTTCCAGCTTAAACTCAACCAACTCACTGGCGACTCGGAATGGGTAGTCATAGAAGAAGAAGAAAACGAAAATGCAGAATTTGGAAACCAGCAGTCCCTCCTCGCTACGACGTCGTATCTCGACATGCTCAATGACTCCCCGAGAAACAAAGCCTTCCGTCAAGCAATTGAAAAGACCATCACTAAACCTTGTCACGTTCTTGATATCGGGTACTTCAAAATATATTTCAACTTAAAAATACGTTCATACAATTCGCTCATTATTGATGTTATTTGTATAAAGTAAGTTGATGGGACTAATTTGATTTACTTATTATTTCACTCTTGATTGGTAATGTATTGTTTACTGTATAAGGGCGAAGTAGTTGCATACCGAGGTATCAATCCTCGGGAGTTTATACTTTATAGAGAACAAAAAGACGAAGGAACGTGAAGATAAAAGGCAGATTGATTATTTCAATTAAAATATTATTCGAACGATAGCATAAAATAAGTTAGTAATTTTGAAATGTAGATAATATTTAGTATTTACATTCTATGAGCTAGGAGTGGAGATTAGAACATAAAGGTTGCATTGTTAGCTAAATGCTTTTAAATGTAGTTCTGGCATAATATGGGTTACCCAGAGCCAAATGTACCATAGATATTATTAATGATTTAGTTGTTGGTAAATGTACTAGTCTGGTCTTTATCGTACAGTGCTGGAACTGGCTTGTTATCAATGATGGCAGCTCGGGCAATGAGTTTTGGTGATTCAGAGGAGAGCTCTGGTATGAATGGGATGGTGACTGCATGCGAGTCATACCTTCCCATGGTGAAATTGGCGCGAAAAGTTCTCCGAGCCAATGGCATGGAAAGGAAGATACGCATCATTAATAAGAGGTCAGATGAATTGGAAATTGGCTTGGATATCCCTTCGCGTGCAGATGTCCTTGTAAGTACCTATATTTTATGTTTGCGTTGAACTTGAGCTATTGATATTCATTTGGTAATTTTCCCTGCCACAGAAAATCAGTGTAGCTATTGAGTGAAGATGAGCATACTGTGTTTACGGGGGAAATTGAATACATCATCAATGATTTTTGCAGGGATACTCAAACTGCAAAGAGAAGAAATAATAACTTGAAAGAAATCCTAATGATATTAATTTTAAATACTTCTCCCATAAAATATCTGATATATTCATCTATACTGTCCATAAACTGGTGGGATTTCTATGAAAACCAATTGATACTACTCTTTCATATATCTGCATTCTGTAGTTTCACAAAATCTCATGCTCATTCAGGACCTTTAACCTTAAACATACAAGAAGATGCTTTTTTACTTTTGTCCAATAGGAGGAAGAAGATATACAAGAATTGTTTTCCCCTTCCCTGAACAATTGGGCCTATTGTTTTACATTTATAGTGCTATTTTTGGCTGTTCTTTATGAATGGTATGGATGTCATTCATCGTATTTATTTTCGGCTTCCCTTGTCTTACTTTTACATCATAGTTCTGGAGGAGTACCTTAAATCGATTCCTTTTAAAAACTGCGATCCATTTCAAATGCAAGTGAGTGTGTAGTTTAGCTGAAATTAGAACTCGTGAAGTAGAACTCATGTGCATAGCAGAATAATATTATTTTTGTATGTTCAATAGTTATTTATTTTTAAATTGCAGGTTAGTGAGATCTTAGACTCAGAGTTGTTGGGAGAAGGGCTAATTCCAACTTTACAGCATGCTCATGAGAAGCTATTGGTGGAAAATCCTCAAACGGTACCTTACCGAGCGACGACTTATGGCCAGGTGACTTACAAAAGCTTTCAAGCTTTGTAAATATATTTGTTTGTACCAACCATGGATGCTTGATCTCCTTCCCTCTTTTCAACACTTTCTGGTTTGGAAGACTACACATTGTATCATAATATCCTGCATTGTCTTTATTTTTGAGGAACAACTATAGTTACTTTAGTACTGGTGAATTGTAATTCTGAAAGTTGTTGTTCTAACCCGTGGCTTGTGGTCCACGATCCACGATGCTTGGCCGTGTAGTGAAAATCATAACTGCATGTTAATCTCTTTGATGATGATGTAAAATCAAAATACCCAGATTTGAGACCCCACCAACGGTAGAGATTGGGTCCAAGGTTGCAACACCAACCTTATTACACCTGCAAAACAGAAGCATGAGGTTACCTACATCTGATGCTTATGTTAGCACTTAGCAGGTATCAAAGTGTTAGTAATGTGATTGTAGAGTTTAAATAGAATGGTAGATTGTGAAGCAAAATGAATCTTAAAACTAGGGCTGGACATGGTCCGGTTCGGTTCTCAAGAAAACTGAACCGAACCAAAATTTTCGGGTATTTACTAAATGGAACCGTCGGGTCCAAATATAATTATGGAACCGTTCGAGTTCGGTTCAGTTCGGTTCGGTTTTGTACCATAATTAAAATTTTTAACTTTCTAATGGTCAACGATCGGTGGTCGTGGTAGGAGGTCGTAGCTTCGATGGGCATTGGAGAGGGGAAGTTGGACTCGGCAGTCGACGATTTCGATTTGGGCATGTAGATGTAGGTTTTCAATTTATCAAATGATTTGGGGTCATTGACTC